CCTACTCCTTCTCCTGATCTCTCTTTCTTTCTTACTTTTTCTTTCTTTCTTTCCCTTCCTTCTTTGTTTGTTTCTTTTTCTTTCTTTCTTTTTTTTTGTGATACTGGGGTTTCAACTTGGGGTCTACACCGTGAGCCACTCCACCAGCCCTTTTTTGTGATACATTCTTTTTGAGATAGGGTCTCATGAACTATTTGCCCAGGCTGGCTTCAAACCTCAATCCTCCTGATCTCTGCCTCCTGAGTAGCCAGGATTACAAGAGTTTGCCACCTGTGAGTTTGCCACCTGTGCCCAGCTTCTCCTGTTCCTTAATTAATCCCAAGGACACTGACCTCAGCAAATCCCCCTTCCCCCCAGGAGTAGTGTCCCTGGACTGGAGGAAGAGAGAGACAGACAGACAGAGAGAGCCTGTAGCCCGTGGAGCTGAAGAACCACCCAGCTGAGCCCAGTCTCCATACTGAATGGTGAGAGCTGATGAAAGCCATGCTTTTTTTTTTTTTTTTTGGTGGTACTGGGATTTGAACTCAGGGTCTCATACTTTCTTGGCAGGTGCTTGACCACTTGAGCCACTCCGCCAGCCCAAAGCCGTTCTTTTAAGTCTCAAAGTTGAGGAGTATTTGTTACACAACAGCACACATGGGAACCAGGGTCTTTGCACCTGCTGAGCCCTCTGCCGATGAGGTCAGAGAGGGTTCTTTCTCCCCAGTTCGCCCAGGCTCCATTTGTATGTCACCACGTCAGGGTTCCAAGATCTCCCTGCCTAAGACAGTCCCCACCTCCCTCCACAACTCTCTCCAGCTGGTGGAGTGGCTCAGGTGGTGACACACCCAGGTAGTAAGCATGAGGCCCTGACTTCAAGCCCCAGTGCCACCAAAAAATAAAAATAAAAACGTATGTCAGAACTCTCTCCTCTCAGCCCAGCTCGTTCCTTGGAGCCTGCATGGCCACCTGACATTCTGTATTACCTGTGTTTATGTAATGCTTGTCCCTCATTAGCTGGATTTGGTTTTGATCCCCTGAGGTACCACTACACCTGACACAGAACAGGGGCTCTTGGCTGCCCGTGGGAGGGGTGAGTGGACAAGGCTCACTCTTTCCCAGCAAGCACCCCACTGCCCCACAGAGCTGCCTGTCCACAGCGTGTGTGCACCGGGGTCCTGGTGCCTAGTAGAGCCACAAAGAGACAGTCCCTAGACTGGGAGGTGTGAGTCGCCAGTCCTGAGCCTTGCATGGACAGGTCCAGGGCCAGGCTGGGGAGGGTGACTGTGGCATCTCTTCCCCTTGATGTTAGCATGGAGAAGTCTCCTTCAGGGTTTGGTGGAGGGGGAGGGACTGAGTGACCCCTACTTCTGTTGCACTCAAGTCCCCAGTCCTCTCTCTGACGTCAGGGGTGGGAGGAGCCTGCTTCTCTCTGAGCACACAGTTTGCCCTGTGCCCCTCCTCAGAGCATGGGTGTGATGGTTGCCATTGAGCTGGGGCTTTGTTCAGTGACCTGGGGTGGTGTGGGGGGGGTGCTGTGCGAGCTGTTAACCGTTTGCCTGGTTTGAGGGTGTGGGGAGCCCCGCCCGCCTTGTGAGTCACCCCAAAGTGCATAGCAAGGTAAGTTCTAAGAGACAGACTGTTCCCAGGGCTTGATGTGGTCACCCTCACACTGCTACCCACTGGAGCTGGGACCACCTGGACCAGGACGATGGGGCCCAGCGGGGAAGCTGGTCATCTGCCCAATGCTGTAAAACAAAATGGTAGCCGTAACCGCCTGATCAGACACAGAGCAGGAGGATCCCATGTTATCTGTCAAAACCCATTATGGGGGGTGGGCATGGTGATGCAGGACTGTAATCCCAGCATTCAGTGGCGGGGGGATGGTGGACAGAAGGATCTGAGTTTGATACCAGGCTGGGCTTTGTGAGACCCTGATTCAAAAAAAGAAGTGCACAGCTGACTCTCGTGAACTGCTCCTGAAGGTTCTGCCTGATTTTATTTATTTGCTGACAATATTAGGGTTTGAATTCAGAGCCTTGGCCTCCCTAGGCAGATGCTGTACCACTTTGGCCACACCTCCAGCCCTTTTTTGCTTTATTTTTAGATAGGGTCTTTAGGTTTTTGCCTGGCCAGCCTGGACCTTGATCTTCCTGTCTATACCTCCTGTGTACCTGGGATTACAATATGTACAACTACACCTGGCTCATTTGTTGAGATAGGGTCTCACTAACTTTTTGCCTGGGCCGGCTTCAAACTTTGATTCTTTCTATCACTGACTCCCAAGTAGCTGAAATTACAGGCATGTGCCACTGCACCTGGCTTTTTTTTTTTTTTTTGAGATAGAGTCTCTCTGTGTTGTCCAGGCTGGACTCAAATAATCCCCCTGCCTCAGGATCCCCCACCAGTTCTGGTACTATAGGTGTCTGTCACCATACCCAGATTTTTAATAATTAAAAAAAGATATTCACCATGGCATCAAAACACTTTCCAGTACCTCTGGGCACAGTGGCTCAAGCCTGTAATCCCAGCTATTCAAACAGCAGAGATCGGGAGGATCAAGGTTCAAAGCTAGCCCAGCCAAACAGTTCATGAGACCCCATCTTAAAAATATCAACACAAAAAAGGGCTGATGGAGTGGCTCAAGGTGTAGTCCTGAGTTCAAACCCCAGTACCACACACATACAAAAAAAAGCCAGCACAAGCCAAGCACCTGTAATCATACCTGTAATCCCAGCTACTTGGGAGGCTAAGGTTGGGGGGATCGCTGTTTGGGGCCAGCCCAGACTAGAAAAAGGATTGCGAGACCCCATCCCAACAACATCTGGAGGCAGTGGTGTACACCTGTCATCTGAAGCTATGAGGGAGGCTGAGATCCAGGCCAGGCAGGCCAAAAAAAAAAAGTTCTCAAGACCCCATCTCAATGGAAAAAAAGCTGAGTATGGTGGTGCAAACCTGTCATCCCAGCAACTGCAGGAAGCATAAAGTAGGAGAATTGGGGATCAGGCTGGCCTGGGCAAAAAAGAATCTATCTCCAAAATAATTGAAGCAAAGAGGGCTGGCAGAGTGGCTCAAGTGGTAGAGTGCCTGCCCGGCAAGCATGAGGCCCTGAGTTCAAATCCCAGTACTGCCAAAAAGCTTTACAGAATCTAGCGTGAATGGACAACATAACTACATACAAAGAGGACTCCAGGTGGATCAAAGAACAAACAGGAGAAGGTACTCATGGTTTAGAAATGAAACTGGAATTTTCTGGGGCGTGGGTTATGAGATAGGCTCTTACTTATAGCTCAGGCTGGCCTCAGACTCAAGATCCTCCTGCCTCAGCCTCCCGAGTACTGGGATTACAGGACTGTACCACTGCATCTGGTTTGGAATTTTTTGTGGTGGAACTGGGGTTTGAACTCAGGCCCTACACCTTGAGACACCCCACCAGCCCTATTTTTGTGATGGTTTTTTTCAAGATAGGGTGTGGTAAACTATGGCTTTGAACTGCAGTCCTTCTGATCTCTGCCTCCTGAGTAGCTAGGATTATAGACAAGACACCTGTGCCTAGCCTTTTTCTTTCTTTTTTTTCTTTTTGGCACTACAGGGATTTGAACTCAGGCCTCATGCTTGCTAGACAAGCGCTCTACCACTTACCACTTAAGCCACTTGGCCAGCCCAAAACAAGTAATTTTGTCAGCTTGTTGTTTATTTATATTTATTATTTTTATTTTTTTTTATTGGTGGCACTGGGGCTTGAACTCAGGGCCTCACATTTGCTGCCAAGCACTCTACTACTTGAGCCACTCTGCCAGCTGGAAATTCTTAAATGAGAACCAAAGCACAAACTTTTATTCAAGTGAAAAATTGATGCATTGGTGAATCTTAAAATTAAGGATTTTTTTTTTTTTTGGTGTTGCAGGATTTAAAAAATAATAATAATAATTTGCTCCTGCAAGCTCAAAATGAAGCAGATACAAAATGGAAGAGAAACAGTCCCACCTGGGTGTCAGGAGACCTGGAGTTGCTTCCCCTCCCTGCCTCTGACCCCCATGGGGTGCAGGACACTCCCTCATGTGTGTGATGAGGTTAATCATATTTGTCTGCCCTGCCCACTTCTGGGGACCCAGGAGAGGATGAGTTGATGAGCAAGAACCTACTTTCAAAAGGAAATACCTGCTCTCCTGTGTTCCGATGTCTGTTGTCAACCGCCTTTCTAAAGGCAGACAGAGAGCCAGGTACTGGTGGCTCACACCTGTAATCCTGGCTACTTGGGAGGCAGAGATCAGCAGGATCCAGATTCAAAGCCAGCCCAGGCAAATAGTTCTCGTCTTGAGAAAAAACCCATCACAAAAAAGGGCTGATGGAGTGGCTCAAGTGGTAGAGCTCCTGCCTGCAAAGTGTGAGGTCCTGAGTTCAAACATCAGTGCCACCAAAAAAAAAAAAAAAAAAAAAGAGAGAGAAGTCAATTGGGCTCCAGTGGCTCATGCCTGTAATCCCAGCTACTCAAGAGGCAGAGATCAGGAGGATTGAGGTTTGAAGCCAACCGGAGAAAATAGTTCGTGAGACCCTATCTTGAAAAAACCCTTCACAAAAAAGGGCTGGTGGGGTGCCCCAAAGTGTAGACCCTGAATTCAAACCCCAGTACCACAAAAAAAAAAAAAAAAATCCCACCCTGGGCAAATAGTTCTGATTATAAAATAACCAGAGCAAAATGAACCTGATGTGTGGTTCAAGTGGTGGAGTACTTGCTTTGCAAGTACAAGCCCTGAGTTCAAACCCCAGTCCCACCCCCAAAAAAAAGATCCCTGACCAGGCCAGGCCCTCCTGGGACGGGGTGTCGGAGAGCTTGTTTCCACGACAGCAAGGCATTGTTCTCTTCAGACCCCTCCCTGGTGATACCAAATCTGCCCCCAAACCTGTCTGGCCAGTTGTATGGGAGGAGGGGGCATCTGGAGGAGCAGCCTCCCCCAGCCCTGCACAGACGCAGCTTCTGACAGAGCTGACAGACAGACAGCCGGACTCTCAGTTTGGCTATGGAGCTCAGAAGGGGACAGTCTTGGCTGCTAATCCCACTCTTGGTGCTACTGACCTGTGTCCAGCCCAGGATGGGTCTCGGTGAGTGAGGCTGGGGCAGGGGCAGGGGCAGGGGACCCCACCATCCACCTGGCTGCCTTCAGAACCCCTCTCTTGGCTGGAGACTGGGCCCTGGGTGGGTCAGGGGAGAGTCGCAAGATGGACATCTGTCCCCAAGTCCAGGACAAGAATCTTTGGGGGGGGTTCTCATGCCCAAATTCCCACAAATGGCTCTTGACACCACCCCTCATCTCTGGGGGCCTCTTTCCCCGTTAAGCAACATTAAGTACCTACTGTATGCAGAGCAGCCTAGTCCTCAGAGACAGGACAAGAGCTTGGAGGAAGGAGGAAGCAACGCCCCCCCCCACGATGGAAGGTTCTAGAGGCTCTAGCCTGGACCCTTGGAGTTGGCTAATTTAATGGAAACGCATCATACTGACTTGAACTGAACCGAAAAGGGTGTGGGGTCTCCCAAGACTTGCATTTTCATGGTGAAGTGCCCACTTCACCATTCTGTTCATTCCAGGATTGGGGACTGGGAAAGGGGGGCACTCTGGTCCTGGGGACCTCCAGGAGGGGTGAGGGGTCTGAGCTCCGTGAGCAGCAAAGCTGGACACAGGTCACTTGGCCAGTCCTGAGTCCCTTCAAGCTGAGAGGGGGACCCAGTCAGGGGAAGGTGCCTTGGGACCCATGGGAGGTGTTCGGAGGAGGCTAAGAAGTGGGTGGGAAGCGAGGAAAGTTCTAGACTGAGCCAGCCTCTGGGCTCAGAGTCAACGTTCCCAGTGGATGGCCCACGTCTAGGTCCACAGGTCCTACCTGTGTCACCCCCAAAACCTCAGCCATGTGGGGGCCAGAGGGACTCTCAAGGTCACTGGGCATACCAGGGGCAGGGTCCAGCCTAGGGCTCGGGCTCCCCCCAACCAAGTCTCATGGAGAGAGGCCACCTGCGCCTCCTCTGTCCATCTGTCCTTCCTTGGACCCTGTCCATCACATGGAGACCCCAGTGACCCAGGCAAGGCAGCAGGGCAGGGCCCTCTCCTAGTTGGCTCCACCCATGCCCCACGGGGCCCAGTTATCAGGGGACCTCCTAAGTCCTGCCTGGCCTGACCTCCCAGATTGGGAGGTGTGTCTCCCGCTCTGACCAGGCCAGGCTACCCCGCTCGATCTCTGCCCTCTGCCCTCCCCTCCTGCTTCCCAGAGTACATCAGCTATGTGCCCCAGCTCTCTGGTGCCACCCTGGCGGGGAAGGTCACCCAGTCCACCTTCACACTGGCGCAACCCCAGGGCCAGTTCGATGGGCACAACATCTCGAACTTTAATCCCATCTGGCTGGTGGTGGCCCGCGGCAATGGTGAGCAGCCACGCCTTGGTCTTCCCTCTGTGAAATGGGTAGATGGGCCTGCGAGAGTAGCACATGTGGGCAAAGTGGGGAGCAGGGCTGCTGCGGAGAAGGGGATATGGCTGGGGGAGGGGCCTGTCAGGCCTGGTGAGACAGAGCTGGGTTCTGCCCAGTTCGGTCCCCAACAGCTGACCCTCAGTGTCACCTTCAGCCACACAGAAGTTCACTGCTCCACCGAGGGTAGAGGACAGTGTGGCCCCTGCCAGATTCTCCCAGAATGGCTTCTACCTCACACTGAGGGCCAGCCGGGCACACTACCCAAGTGGCCCGGCTGGCAACCAGGTCCGTGTGCTCCGTGTTGGCAACAGTACCAGCTGCTCCCCCACAAAAGTGGGCTGCAACCCCCCGCTGCCAGGCTCGGGTCCCTACAGGTGAGCTGGAGGAGGGGGGTGCTCCTGACATATCAAGCCAGAGCCTGGGCAGCTCCTGGGTGGCTCAGGGGGTCCTGAGTGGCATCTGTGAATGCTCCCCATCTTTCTCGAGCAATGCAGCCAAATTTTCCATGGACCATCTGGACCACGCAGGTGGAGGGTCCCCAACCAGATAGGGCATTTCTTGGACAGGGACTAGCCTCAACCTGTCTCCCCGACCAAGTGCTGAGCTTGATTCACTTTTTTTTTTTTTTGCAGTATTGGGATTTGAACTCAGCACCTACATCTTGAGCCACTCTGCCAGCCCTTTTTTGTGGTGGATTTTTTGAGATAGGTTCTCGCAAACTATTTGCCCAGGCTGGCTTTGAACAATAATCCTCCTGATCTCTGCCTCCTGAGTAGCTGGGATTACAGGCGTGAGCCACTGGTGGGGCCCAGCCTTGATTCACTTTTGTTCAGTGCTGAAAGCTCTAATCCACCTCACACATCTCCCAAAAGATGACAGTGAGGCCCAGAGAGGGTGAGGGCTGCATCCAAGATCACACAGCAGGAAGAGGGGACACTGGATTCAAATACAGAGCTCTACTGGACTCGAGCTTGTGCTCTTTATCTTCAGCCCCCTGCTCTTGATCCCTGGGAGCCGAGGGAAAGGACTGACAGGCACCATGATCTACCCCAAGGTTTCAGCACCCCAGAGACCCCCCACCCCCAATGCTGGGTTTTCTATTCAGGGTGAAGTTCCTTGTGATGAGTGACAAGGGACCTGTGGCTGAGACGGATTGGTCCAACGAGTTGCACCTGCAGCAAGGTACAGGGTCAGATGAGCAGGTCAAATGGAGGGGCCTGGGGGGCTCCTATGGATGGGCACTGGGCATGTGGGGGGACCAGGACAGCTCCCTGTAAATCAGAAACACTAACAACCTTCCGTCTGTAGGTGTCCCTCCTCCCCCAAGCAGCCCCTCCCACTCTCCATCCCCCCTCTAGTTTGGGGGGGAGGGTGGTTGGTCCGGAGGCTGCCCAAGGGCCCCTTCTCAGGTCAAATAAAATCTTTCCGCTGGGTGCTGGAGGCTCATACCTATAATCCCAGCTACTCTGGAGGCAGGGATCAGGAGGATCGCAGTTTGAAGCCAGCCTGGGCAAATGGTTACCAAGACCCTATGTTAAAAAAAACCACCACTAAAAAAGGGCTGGTGGAGTGGCTCAAGGTTGTAGGCCCTGAGTTCAAATACCAGTATCACAAAAAAGAAAATAATAAAACAATATATATATCTCTTTCCTGCCTCCCTTTGGGGCCCTGTCGTGCCCTGCAGCCCAGGCATTCCAGGCCATCCCAGGGACCCAGAGCCCAGGCACCGTGGTCATCATCACCATGCTGACAGTCCTGCTGGCCATCCTCGCTGCCGTGCTACTCATCCTCTCCATACACACGTGGTGAGTGGCAGGGTGGCACCAAGCCCCTCCCAGCACCAGTCCATGGCTGGCCGCTCCTTGCTGCCCTCTGCTGGAGTGATTTTCCCTGAAAGCCAGACAGGACCTAACAATGCACTAAGGGTTCCCTAAGGTTCCAAAACCTCTGGGGTCTGAGCCAGTGGCCTGTCCTTCCTAGTGGGATGGGATGAGTGACATATACCTTATCCCTGCCTGCACCTGCCCTCTTCGCACAACTATTTTCTCAGTAGCTACTACCTGCCCCATAGTGGTGGCATCTGGAATTGCAAGTGGGGTGGTCAGCAGACAACCTGGATGGGGCTGAGTTGCTTTCAGATCAAGCACCCTGGACATTGCTTCAAAATTTCATGCAAAGCTCAAGTGTTGAGGCCTGGCAGAGAGGGACTGTCTACAAAACTTTACAGAGGAAATAAGACACCTAGATCCTGGTGGGGTTTGGGGAGGCAGCTCCAAGGAAGTGGGGAGGTGAGGTGAAGAGCTCTCTGGGGCAGGAGGGTGCTAGCAGCCAAGCAAGGCCATGGGGCTGGGTACCCAGCTGAGGAACTAGGCTATCTCCCAAGCCCATAGGAGCCAGTGGTGAGCTTTGGTCAGGAGAGATACATCAACAAGGGGGCTGGGAGTAGTGTGGTGGTGAATGCCTGTAATCCCAGCTACTCAGGAAGGGGGGCAAGATAGGAAGATCGCAGTTCTAGGTCAGCTGGGTAAAAGCCCACCCAAGACCCTTTGTGAAAAAGCAAACTAAAGCAAAAAGGGCTGGAGGCATGACTCAAGTGGTAGAGTGCCTGCCCAGCAAGCTAGAGGCCCTTAGTTCAAACCCCAGAACCACCAGGAAAAAAAGATATCAACAAGGTTTTAGTGGGATCCTGGGGTGTGGGGGATGGTATGGGCAGTGACATTGGACAGGGAGGGAGGAGGTGAATTTCCAAGGTTTAGCAGAATAGCTGGTTCTCTTTCATTAATGCTGCTGGGCTAGTGGAGACTCAGTTTCCCCTACGCCATGGGTTGGAACTCTAAGCAATGGCTGTGGACAGCCATCAGGACCTGTGTCCACCACTGTGTTTCCCGTTTTTCCCACTCAAGCTTTGACAGGTGCAGGAGCGCGCCCATCTCCGGCCCAGGGGAGCAGGTGCCAGTCACCAACTACAACGTCCACCGCATGCAGAGTCCTGCAGCCAGAGAGGACCTGTGAACAGCTCTAGGTCCCAGCCACATCACAGCCTCCTCCCTGGACCAGGATGCAGAGCCCGAGCTGGGCATGCCAGGAAAGGAAGCTTCTGGAGCCCTGAGACAGATTGTTCTAGGGGAGGTGTTCTTAGTTCAAAGCTTAGGCCAGCCCTCATGAGAATAAACAAACAGGGCTGGAGATGTGCACAGCTCAAGTGGTAGAGCTGCCTTGCAAGCATGAAGCCCTGAGTTCAAAGCCCTGTCCCAGCCACAAGTAAATAAATATCCCCAACAATTTCCAGCTTGTCTGTGACATTATACACCTGGCATTCTTTTTTATTTATTTATTTATTTTGTGGTTCTGGGGTTTGAACTCAGGTTCTACACCTTGAGCTACTCCACCAGCCTTTTTTTGTGATTTTTTTTTTTCAAGATAGGGTCTTGAGAACTATTTTGCCCAGGCTGGTTTTGAACTGTGATCCTCCTGATCTCTGCCTCCTGAGTATCTAGGATTACAGACATGAACCACCAATGCCTGGCCTTTTTTTTGAGACAGGGCCTCACAATGTCATTCAGGCTGGCTTCAAACTCAAGATCCTCATGCCTCAGCCTCCCAAGTGCTGGGATTACAGGCATGTACCACCACATCGGGCCACTTGGGCAGTCTTCCTGCCTCCCTGCCCCGGCTCCTTTGGTCTGGCTCTGGGGGAGGGGGGAGGGATGCAGGACCAGGGCCCACTGAGTCAACCAAGCCCAGGCAAGTCTCTCTGAGCCTCAGTGTCACCATCTGTAAGGCGAGGGTGGGAAAAGTGGTTTCTGGGACTGAAGTAAGGACAAACCAGAGTGGACACACCTTGTACACTGTGAAGGCTACACCCTGGAGAGGTGCTTGTCCTGTCCTGCCCAGCTGGCCTCCTCCTACACAAAGGCCACAGGACTGCATATCCAGCACGAGCATCCTTGTGGTGGCTCTTCTCCCAGCTTCCCTGTCCTCCTGGCTATAGGACTGAGAGCGGTCCAGGCTGGGGCATCATGGGTAGGAAGTGTGTGTGAAGCCCAAAGCGGATCCCAGCCCTGAACCTAATCCAAGACACTCAGTCCTGCTCCTTGCTGGGTCTTAAGGGAACACAGCTGTCCCAGGCCAGGGTCTGCCATCAAAGTGCTTCCCCACGTGAGACCCATGGTGGAGGCTGCAGAGGGTTCCTAGGGAGGAGTGGTTTAGGCATAGGAGCAGGACACCTAAGCCAGGGGGACACAGACAGGGATATCCAGCAGTGAGTCTGTTGGGGGCAGCTTGAGCCTGGAGAGGATGGTGACACCTATGTCACATGGAGAACCTCACCCTCTGAGGGAGGAGGTCAGAGAAGGCAGGGCTGGCTGGGCTCCCAGGTGCCTGAAAATGGTTTATTAGCTGAAGCAGACATATCTGGCTCTGCTGTAGAGGAACTGATCAAGTGGCCACGTGACAATCGGGCTGGGGGAGGCAGGAAAGAAAAGGGAACAGTTTTCCGGCCTCTTTGAGTTAGGCCTTGACCTTACCATAGCCTTTTCAAAACAGCTGGGGCCGGGTGGCCCTAGACACATCACTTACCCAGTGTGGGCCTCAATTTCCCCTTCTTTAAAAAGCTAAGATTGGATAGAAAGACCTTGAAGACCTCGTGGTTGGAGAGACTTTCACCCTCACCCTGCGTGGACCGATCCCTGGCAGGAAACAGATGGCTTGCTGTACAGGGCAATTGAGAGTATTTACCAAGGCGTGGGCAGCCTGCAGGGGCCAACAGGAGAGGATGACCTGGGGTGGGCAGGAATGGGGCTACACACACGCCTGGACCTGAGGAGCTGACAGGAAGAAGGGTGTGGTGTCTCAGAACCAGTAAACAGAAGTCATGGGCCCGGCAGAAACAGGAGCTCTGGGAAGAGGGACAGAGCCCCTGGATGGAGCCAGGGAAGAGGTGCCCAGTTCCGTCCTACCCCTAACCAGAGGTCTTGCTCCTGGGCACAGCATAAAACAGAGGAGGGCAGGAATGGACTAAGAGGCTAGGTGTGACCTGCTCCCAGGGCAGCCAGGCAGAGCACGGGGCCCAGCCGGGAACCCTGCCTGACCCACTAGGCGCCTCAGATTCCTCCCCCATGAAGGTAGTGAATAAGAAAATCCTGCCTCAATCTGGCCCCCAGGTGACTCAGTGTCCCCATCCAGTCTCATTATTTGCATGCTTAGCAGGTCACTGACTTCAGCGGAGTTGGGTCCTGAGGCCAGCCTGCCTCAGCGGCTGTGCACAGGGGTGACAAAGAGGCCTCCAGTGACTGACAGGCACACCCTGCCTGATCTAGTCCATCTGGAGGCTGCCAGGATGGGAGGGGTGGCGACACAAGGTGTGGCCTTGGAGGATGAGGTGACAGAAGGGCAGAAGGGGCTTTCCAGGGGAGTCACTGAGCACGAGGACTCAGCTGGACTTTTCCACCAGGCAGCAGGGGCTGACCCAATGACATTGGCTTCTCCCAGTGACCATGGGGTATGGCTGCACCAGCCTACTTAGCATCTAGGAGCACAGACTTGGGGAAAATAATTTTGAACAGTGAAATGATGTCCAAAGTAACTAAGGGTCCCCTGACATCAGCCTGATGAAAGGACAAATGGGAGAGGCAGGGGACTTGACCCTCTCATTGCCTCTTTCTGTCCCTCTCTGGCTTTGTTTTGTTTTGGTTTTGGTTTTTTGCAGGTACTGGGGCTTGAACTCAGGTCCTACACCTTGAGCCACTCCACCTTCCCTGTTTTGTGATTTTTTTTTTTTTTTTTTGAGATAGGGTCTCAAGAACTATTTTCCCAGGCTGACTTTGAACTGTGATCCTCCTGATCTCTGCCTTCTGAGTAGCTGGGATTACAGACGTGAGCCACTGGCAGCCGGCTGTGTCCCTTTAACCCTGATAGGCCAGAGCTCCTAAGGGAAAGCTGTCTGAGCTAGCCAAAACCTGGGCATGGCCCCCTAAAACACAAGATCAAATCACAATGTGGGTGTCAGGACTGTACAGTCTATCGCCCCAAACTGACAGGTTCGAACAGGGTCACTGCTGCAGCCTTAGACTCACGCCTAGGCCCTTGTCCAGATCCCCAGCTGTTCCCAAACCCAGGTGTTCTGAGTTCAATGCTCTGTGGGGGAAGCCCAGCAGCCCTGCAGGGGTGTACATTCAAGAACCCTCTTTGGCCTAGAACCTGGGGGTCTCCTGGGAAGGGTGGCCCTTCCCAGGAGACCTGAATGCTGGGGCTTGGGGGGAGGCTGCAAGGGCTGAAGCCAGGCTGACAGGAGAGAGGCATAGGAGAGCAGTCAGCTGTCCAGGTGTGTAGGGGGACAGGTAGAGGGCTTCTGGGTCTGACCCCATCAGAGAACATCGAGGGGGCTGTTCCCTTTGTCTCAGGGATACAAAAAATGTGAGGCGGGGGTATTCTGAGAGCGGGGTGGGTTCAGGTTCCAGCCACCCTGCTGTGGGGTCCCCCTGTCTTATGGAGGACACTCCAGACCCAGGGGTACCTCCTCCTAGGCTGAGATGTGAGCTGACCTCAGGACTCCCTGGGGACTTGTGAGGTTGCCAGTGACTCAAACTTTCAGGGGCCAGAATTCTGCTTGCAGGGCAAGTTTGAGGTGTCCAGAGTCAGGCCCAAGGGTCCTGTGTCATCAGGACGATGGCCAGAACTCATGTGAGCTCCTCCCTCTGCACCCAGCACCTCCAGCCACCCTTCCCTCTACCCATCCCCCCAATTCCTGAATCCCTGCTCTTCTCTGTCCAGCTCAGCTGTTACCTTTTCCTACCTGCTACCTATGACCCCTCCACCTGGAGCCAACTGTCTCCTGAGTCACACTTCAGGACCATCTCCTGCTTGCAGGCTCCACACCCATCCCTGGGGGGCAAAGGAGCAGAGGGAGGCAGACAAGGAGCAGCAGAGACAGAGGCAGGTACTGGGACCACCCCTGTCAGCCCCTCTGGCCACTTTAGCCTAACTCAGGAGCATGGATGTTCAGTGGTGAGGTCAGGGAGGGAGGCCATCCAGGACCCAGCCCTTTTGTTTTTTTTCTTTTCTCCCCTCCCCCACAATCATGGTACCGGGGATTGAACCTGGCGTCTCATGCATGCTAGGCAAGCGCTCTACTGCTTAGCCATGGCCCCAACCCTTTTGATTTTTCATTTTTGATTTTGCAACAGTCTTACTAACTTTTCCTGGGCTGGCTTCAAAACTCAGGGTCTTCCTTCTTCCACCTCCCAAGTAGTTGGAACAGGGCACAGCTCCTACTGAGTGTCTGGAGTAGGACTCGATAATCCATATCTGTGAACCATTGAGTCCGTGGGGGCGGTCAATTCCGTATTTAGAATTTTTGTTGTAAGCCAGATGTGGTGGCACGTCTATAATCCCAGCTATTCCAGAGGTAGAGAGGATAGCAGTTTGAGGCCAGCCTGGGCAAAAAGCAAGTCCCCTCTCAACAAACAAGCTGGCTGTGATGGTGCATGTCTGTAAACCCAGTACTTGGGAGGCAGAAGATTGAGAGTTCAAGGCCAGCCTGGGCTACATAGTGAGACGCTTTCTTAAAAAATAGCAACAACCAACCGGAAATGTCACTGCAGCTGAAGGTCAAGTATTTGAGGCCACTGGAGCCAAGAAGCAGGGTACTTAGGCCACTATGGCAACGAGGGAAAAGCCCCGTGGCGGGACTGGGTCCCATGAGTGGTGGGGAATCCTGGGGGGGGTGTTCTTTAGCAGGACAGGCTCAAGAACCCTTTGAATTTCCAAGGCAGACTCCTAGAACTGCTGGCCAGTGGAGGGCAAGGCTGGCGGGAGGTGCCCTGGGCCTTTGTGGGAGGCAGGGATGTCTGGGGCTCCCACCCTCCCTCTGCTATGGGAAGATCGGACAGAGCTGGCGGGTGAGACCCTAGCCTGGCCTTTGAGACCCTGATCTCTGACTGCTCCCCCCATCCCCCTTAGCAGCAGCTGTGGGCAGTCCCCTTACCCTCCCCCATCCCACTGCCAGCTTCCTC